CACAGGCGTTCGCTACATTCGTCGAGAAAGGACGAATGTCTTATGCGGTCCCCAAATTCCACCTTTACGCCCACAAGGTCTTCTGTCAGCTCCGGTTCGCGTTTCAGTGGCTGTTTGGGACGGCCATCACAGACGGCGAGGCGCCCGAACGCTTGTGGTCGGGTTTCAATGCGGCGGTATCAAGCCTGCGAGAGCTGGGTCCTGGTGGGAATCATGACATGCTGGACTACATGTTCGGTGCATGGAATTATGAGAAATCGAGTACTATAAGTGAGTACGCCGCTGTTTCTCGATGTGACTCATAACTAATGGTGTATCAGATTCGGCTCTGCTCGGACGAATGGATCGCGCACTTGACGACGGCGAAGGGCAAACCAACACTTATACAGACTTGACTGCAGCGCTGCGATCGATGCAACCCGAGAAGCTCGTCGAGAAGGAGGGCGCCGTGAAGGCTTGGGATAGCGGCGACAAGACTAAGATGAAGGACTCGCAATGCCCATACTATACGAAGAAGCAGAGTGAGTGTGCAATAACCCCCCTCCCGCTTCATGCTTTGATCAGATTGTGCTCACCGTACGGGCTTCTACAGGCCTGTCAATGGCGCAGATTAAGTCGCAGTCTAATGAACTTGAGGCTTCTCATAAGGACAAGGCAGTATTCAACGACCCAGATGAAGAAGCAGCACTTGCGGAGTGTATTCGGCGCGGCATGCGGATTGAAGACGAAAGGTGAAGCTCCAGTCGCACGGTGGTATAACTTGCGTGCAACTAACGAGCTGCTTAGGGCGCGTATCGATCTCAGGCTTTATCAAGAGGATCCCACGGAAAAGCAAGTTACGTCGAGGACCGAGGCCCTCAAAGCATTGGTGAAGGCTATCATTGGGTTTCGCGCAGAACAAGAGGCTTGCATGCCATCAACGTATGCCGTTTTGACGGACGAAGAACGCGATCCCGACCCTAAGGCCGCCATGACCGTCCAATTGTGCATGCCCTCGGACCCTCCTGATGGAGACGAATCCTACGTCACCGCAGCAGCCCGGATTGTCGAATCTAGGCTTCGATGGGAGGCGATGGTGGACGAGCTTGATCACCTGCTTCACCAACTGCGCTTGAAGGGTTGTCTGCACAAGCACAGGGTGGCAAACATCACCGGTCAACACATGAGCACTCGCGCTCAATCGACTCAGGCTGCCGTCAATACCCACATCAAGAAAGCTGCCGACGCTTACAGACGCCATCGAGCCGCGTATCTGAAGTTGGTTGGCAAAGGTACCTGGGAGGAGACCATGCGCGAGTTACAGGACTCGGATTGCCGCTCATTAGGAGACAAGCTCATCGAGCAGATAGAGAAGATGTCGGAGAAGCGTGTGACAGCCTTCCTTCAGGGAAAGGGGAAGGCAGACACATCTGGCGATACAAACTACAAGCTGCCATGGATTTGGTACAATTGGACCGAGTCGTCCGATGACGCGGTATCCGACGGTGCGTAGAACGCAGGTATAGAAGAAGTCAAACCTGTCCGCTGATATTGCACAGAACTCATGGCGGAGTGGGCCAAATCCCGCGCGCGCGCTATGCACCACGTGCACGAAGTTCGCCTTGTTGACGCCGAGATGCAACGCGTTCTCAATTTCAACGAGACCATGGCCCAGATGTGGGATGCGCGTCGAGACTCCCATGAGAGCATCGATATGGGGGAACACAAGCAGTGGGCTTGCGACGATGTATGGGCCGACGGCATGCGCGCATACGCGTCAAAACAGGCCTTCATCCGCAGAGCCCAAGCGGAAAAGTGGAGCGCGGAGTTTGCTCCGGTTAGGGCGGAAGCACGAAGGTTTTTGGCAGTACACACCGATGACGGACTCGCCATCGATCCCTCGACCATACTAACGACAGAAGAAATCGAGGTAATGGAGCACCAGATACAGACTCGCCGTGAAAGGCGCAAGAAAGCGAAACGCCCGCGACCCGCAAAGGCAGACGCGTCGTCTCAACCGGAGGAGAACGAGTCGGAGAACGAGTGGTCTGGACTGGAGAACGATACATTGAAGTCGAAGGGAAAGGGATCTAAGGCGCGTAAGCAGAAGGATAAGGTGGGGGGGAAGAAAAAGAGGCGCGCCAAGAAGGGTTGATTTAAGATACTATGCGGTACTTAGTATATTTCAGCTGATATCTAATAATACACTCCGCGGCGCTCAGCCTTGCCTGTTGTCATGTGTGCCGCCGTGGCAGGGAGCTGAAACGCACATACGGCGCTAATAACTTCAATGGGGATGCCTACGTGTAGGCTAGCTATTGAAGGTAGATCTACTCATTGGGTGATACTATTAAACAGGACGGGTTCATTGATATCGCATCCTATGTATGAGTTGATCGACAAGCTAGAAGCTGATTCGATAACTGCGGAAGGATCCCGCAGCGTCAGTACGCTCGGTGAACGAGGTTCGGCCAGCAAGA